AACACAAGTGAAATAGAAATTTAAAGCCGGATGTGATGCAATATTTAAAAAATAGTCAAATATTTGACCATGCCATGCGACCATTTCTTCTTAAGGGACCTGCTGGACCCCACGGACCCCCTGGTAAGGACGGCAGAGCTGGTGGACATGGAACCATCGGATCTCCTGGTGCCCGTGGACCCCCTGGATACGTTGGACCCGCTGTAAGCAGACTGTCTTTCCTTCTCAAATACAGAATTTGTTTGTAAAGCACACATTTTAGCTCCATTGCCATCAAATGATCCTCTGCAGACGATCCAACCACCGCTCTTAATATCGATCCCCTCTCTTATCGACAACAGGGTCCTGCTGGATCTCCTGGTATGCCCGGACCACCCGGCCCCGCTGGTGGCGGATATGACGTCTCTGGTGGATACGATGAGTACAGAGCTGATCAGCCCGCTCTGAGAGCCAAGGACTACGAGGTTGATGCCACCATCAAGTCTCTGAACACCCAGATTGAAAACCTGCTCACCCCCGAGGGATCCAGGAAGAACCCCGCCCGCACCTGCCGTGACATCAAACTCAGCCACCCAGACTGGAGCAGCGGTAAACTCAGTTTAATCTAAATTGAACAAGGCTTGCATTGCTTGATTGTAGCCCAATAAGTGAATGAAGGGAAATACTGCCTTTCCTTAACATTGACTCTTTTTTTTATGCCTTTAAGGATTCTACTGGATCGACCCCAACCAGGGCTGCAACAATGACGCCATCAAGGTCTTCTGCGACTTCACCACCCGCGAGACCTGCGTCTTCGCCCACCCAGCAAGCATTGCCCAGAAGAACTGGTACAGAAGCACAGAGAGCAAGAAGCACATCTGGTTCGGAGAGACCATCAATGGCGGTACTGAGGTGAGCGCGTTCAGAGATCTGAAACGTCACTTAAAAAAGGTTTCAAAAATGAAAAAAAAAAAAAAGGCCAGGAGGTAACATAATATGTGATGTTTCCTCCATGCAGTTTACCTACAACGACGAGACCCTCAGCCCCCAGAGCATGGCCACCCAGCTGGCCTTCATGCGCCTGCTGTCCAACCAGGCCAGCCAGAACATCACCTACCACTGCAAGAACAGTGTTGCCTACATGGATGGTGAGAGTGGCAACATGAAGAAGGCTTTGGTGCTCCAGGGCTCCAACGATGTGGAGTTGAGGGCCGAGGGCAACAGCCGCTTTACCTTCTCAGTGCTGGAGGATGGTTGCACTGTAAGTAGCTCTTTCAGCTTCTGCTAAATCAATGCAGTTTTTGTTGTTGATAGATGGAGCTTATTCACCTTGTATCAGTGAATCCTTTAAACACAACTCTAAAACATGGTCTCTTTTTCTTCCCTTACACCTGCAGACACACACCGGTGAGTGGAGCAAGACAGTGATCGAGTACAGAACAAATAAACCATCTCGCCTGCCCATCCTCGACATTGCACCTTTGGACATTGGTGGAGCTGATCAGGAGTTTGGTTTGGACATTGGCCCAGTCTGTTTCAAATAAATAGACTCATGATAAATTAACACCGAAAAAGAGAGAAAGAACGAAAAAAAAACAAAATCTCTGCCCTTCTTTCTGTGTTGTTTTTTTTATACTGAATGCTGATTTCTCTCTGCGCATCCACTTGCTTAAGATGGGCAACTATCTGAGAGGACTGAACGGACTGAACGGAGCGTTTGTGCAATGCAAATTAATACAGCAACCCAAAGGGACGCGGGAAAACACCTTGTTGTGGGACATCATGTCATCCTTTTGTAAAAAATAAAAGAAGTGTAATAAAAACGCTGAAAGTATGCATCACTTTTGTGGTCTTTGTATATCTTCCAAAGAGGAGGTTTAAAACCACAATTTCCATGAAAAAAAGGTTTAAACTACCTCATGCCTGTACCTAAAGAAAATACTATTGACACAACCTTGGTCCACAACAGCGATGTTCAGACTTCTAAGGCTTCAAGCTTTGTCCCATATCGGAAAGGTGCTCAGTTACTTGAAGCAGAGATCAATGGTGCTAATATGCAGCTGTGGAGCAAACCACTTTTTTACTGTATTACTTTGTATTGACCTTTGAGGAGTCTTGCTTTGGTCCCCTTATACTCACCCACTTTAAGCAGGTGGAATGTTCCTAAACCTGATGTTTGGTTTTTGTTTGGTTTTATTTTATTTTGTTCTTTTTTTGTTTCGTCAAGAAGGTTTTTTCTTTGTTTTGGTTTTTTGTTCAGGCTTTTTTTTAACTCTTCATTCCCCCCTACACTGAGTGTTCATACTGACAGCACATATTTCATCCAATTCAGAATGGTTTTTCCAGCGGCCTCTCTCTTTCTCTCTCAAAAAATGACACCACAAAGTCTATTGTACCTATTTTGTATATGTGAGATGTTTAAATAAATTGTGAAAAGTTCTGAAATAAAGCATGTCCAATGTCCTAAAACACACCACTCAGTGACTTAAGTGCTTTCATGATTTATTGACACAATTGAAGCCATATTTTAGTTATAGTTTGGTTGATGATCGACACATAATGACTGACTCAAACATCTCTTGTGGAAGCACAGACAGATCTTCATTTATCACCACCCCTCCCCCTTTTTTCTTGCTTTTCAAATTCTGTTTTTAATGTACAGTAAATTCCTGTTGACACTGTCGATGCCAATGTGTGATTACTAACGTGCATTGTTTCTTGTAAATATGCATCCTCTGACGTTGCTTTTACTTTGCCTAATACAGCTTTTGCATCCAAATAAATTTCTGTGATTTGGATCAAGGCTTGAATTGCAGTGATACATTCACAGTATTCACACCAATATTAGACTGTAAAATTCAATGTGGGAACCTTCCTTTTTTGACAGGTTTTGTAACTTTGTCAGTGTATGTCAGCCAATGAAAGTCAAAACCAGCAGATATCAGAACTGTGCTATTTACATTTAATAAATACATCATTATAAAACAAAATAACAATTATTATCATAGTAATTTAATGATTCCTGCAAAAACAAAAAGTTCTGACTAGCTGGAGTTGAAGGCATCAAAGGTAACACACAGGTCTTTTTTTTTCTAAAGATTTATTTTTGGGCTTTTTATGAATTGTTGCAGATGACAGGACAGTGGACAGAGTAGGGAAATATGAGGAGAATGTGGGGAATGACAAGTGGGAACGAGGCTATGGACTGAGTTGAACCCAGGAGGCCCCCAACGAGGACCACAGTCCCTGCACATGGGGCAGCATGCAGGGCCAACCGGCGCAGCATCACATGCAATTCTTTCTTTAACCACAAGAGGGCAATATGGTTTATTTTATGTAGACAACTTCTTGGACAACCATGTTTAGAATCCATGGGCCAGCAATGTGAGTTATCAGTCTATAACACTCACTCGGTGTTGGTAACTTTATTAAAATGGCACTGCTAAAGGGACATGTTTGTTGATGTTTAAGGTGTGTCATACCGCAGTATAACTGTCAGTGGTGGAGTCTGGAAGTGGAAGTATTTCCTCAACTAGTGTACTTTTTTAGATACTTTTGCTTCACATCTTTTATGCAAAGCGTTACTCCTTCACTACATCACAGAGGGAGGTATTATCCTTCATCTACATTTTTGGACAGCTGGAGATAGAAACAAAGTTTGTAGCAAACAATGTGACTGATTTTAAATGTGTATACCAGGCATTGCAGGTACCTTTAGTCTTAAGGAAGGACCACAAATAATAGGTCATAATGCAGCACTTTCCTCCATTGAAACACATTTTAGAACAAAATTGCAATAAATAAGATTACACACAATGAAAATGTACACATTGAGGCCTTTGGGGCAGCTGTAGGGTCTTATGGTGGACATCTTTTTGTAATCTACCCAGTGTAAAAAAATATTAATCAGGTAAAGGAAAGTATATCTCATAACAAGAAAAGACAACGACCTTTTGCCTCCAGCTCAAATAATGTAATAATAATACAAACAATGTGAAAGTATGTCACAGTCATCAAGCTCATACCAGACTTAGTTCTGATTTCAAGAACATCAAGACAGGCGGTAATTCTGGAGCTTACGCAGTTCCCGAAAGGACCGGATGGAGGAGGCCACGGAGAGGAAGAAGGCCAGATGCACAGATTTGGTCAAAGACTGCCACAGACAAGTGTGGAGGATATGGTGTCTGCATAGGGTTTATTAGGCAGGTCCCTCTGCAGAACATAACATCTCATGGGCATCACAGAAGTCCAGAAGAGGCAGGTCATCATACACAGCACAGGCAGCAGAGAGGGCCTCGAGGTGGCTGTGGTTGAGGAGAGGGCGAGCTGTGAAGGAATTCAACTCGGAGACAAGCCGAGGTCTTAGCACGGCTGGGTCGCCCTGGGTAAGGGTGTCTGATGTTTCGAGACCCGTAAAACCCTGTGACCCCGGATATTAACACTGGTGATGTTTCTGAGAGCATTGTAAGATGTAGGGTCCTAGTTGCAAACTTTAAAGAAGTTAAGTAAAGAAGAGTAGGAAAACAATGAGAAAGCTGAGTACAGAGTGATGTGGCACACTTTCTGTCAAAAGAAGCCACAGTAGCCTAAATACCAATTAGTGACAGTGCAGCAGTCATGTTAGCCTACAGAGCAACGCCTGCATTACTGTCGAAGCAGGTATATCAGGTTCAGGTATCCTATAGAGGTAACTTGACTGTAAGCTAATTTTAACGACTACAAATGTGTTTCACTTCTTACCTGGTAAGATCACCTTAGCTAAACTGATCCGGAGCAGTGGTTGGGGATAAGATTAGACAACCTGAAACTTTCCACAGACCAATCAGATCTCTTGATCACAGAGGTGATCAATGTCACTGTGTTTCCTACGGAAGCGCATTGCATTAACCAAAGAAAAAACTAATTTGACCCATTATCTCGTAATTATGAGATCCTGATCTCGTTGTGAAAAGGGCGCCCTCTGGTGGACGTCTTTGCCAGGGTTTTTCCTCTTTGGCTTTCACTTTTGCATGGACTCTGGTCAGACACTCATAACGTCTCAACAGTCTGTGGTCTCAACACATTGTGAAGTTCTCCTGGATGTTAATCCTTCCCAATTGTCATCTGATGTGAAGTGCGTCTAGCGCAAGTAAGTTAAAAGGTTGAGAATATATGTTTTATCTTTTGCTAGAGCATTTGTCAATACTTTATATATATTTTGCCTGCTAATGGACCAGAGGTTTGTTTTTACTGTAGTTCAGTTATTAATTATCAGGTGACGTTTTTGATAAGGAGATATGCTGAATGGCGGCATTGTAGCCATATCCGTTTGTTAATTAGCAGGACATGGCATTAAGATAGGTGGTGGTGGTGGTAACAAATAAACAAAGTGGAATTAAAGACGTGTGGTTCTTACCGATCACCTGCAGAGAGTTCTACACAATCAGATCTACAGCTTTCTCACACTCGTATATTACGAGACAGGATCTCGTAATTATGAGATAATGGGTCTAATTGTTTTTCTTCTTTGGTGAATGCAATGCGCTTCCGTAGTTTCCCCACACATATTCTAGGAAAGAAAGAGGTTTTTTGATTGGCTCTTGCAGAAATATCTTTTTGGTCAATGTGGCTCTTAAGTCGGCTGAGTACCACATGTGTTTACTTCACATTGTTCTCTCATCACTATTTGCTCTGAGTTTGTGAATATGACGATCTTGACATATGACACTTTCCCAGGCTACAACATAGCATACACAGGTTGGTTTTTTTTAACAGGGCCTCACTGGCCACACGTAGCTGGTTATCACTAGGAAGTATGTCTGCAGGTACACGCCCTCGACAAATAGACTATTATTTTTAAGAATACGCCTATGTCACATCAAGGCCAACAATCATACACAACGAGGAAAACTGCATTCAAGCTCTCTGACTTTAGACATAGTTTTGCATAATTAGAGTTCAACACAATGCCCACTCCCCAGTGTTGAATGTCAGTCACACCTGACATTAAATGTGACTTACGTACGGAGGTAACCACGCCTTCGTGAAACAGGTTCGGTAACTTGGAAAGAAAGAAGGAAAAAAAAGTTATTCAAGGTCCCGATAACTTTCCTGTTCTCCCCCTGACAAACTCGTAAATTACTTTACTGTGTCATTTAAGGTTGTCTTCTCCGGTTCCAGACTGCACCTGCTCTTCAGTGATGGAGAAGAAGGCGGTGTCGCCGCATGAGGCTGCAGAGGCAGACTGTGCAGCCGGAGCAGCGCCGTCGCTTCAGTGCTGCACAGGTGCTTGTTGTCATGGAGGAGCGAAGATGGCGGTCCTGGCCTATAGCCTGGGCAAACGCGAAATAAATCAACATTTCACCATTAAAAATGCCAAACTAATATCGCTGGTGCTTGTTGCTCTACTCGTCGTGTTTCACACAGTTTCGCGGTATCATGGAGGTAAGTGTCACCCCGTTTGTGCGAGCTGCAGTCTGTGAAACACTCCAGCGTAGCTAACGCTAGCTAGCAAGGGTTTAGTGTCTGAGTGCTTATAGTTGCGGGTGCGTTAACTGGTGTTGCGTTAAAAGGGTGAGACGTGCCGCTCACACACATTTGACAGCGCATGCATAAGCTTGTGATGATAGACGACATTTAGTTTGAGCGAGTTATTAAACTGCATGAACTAAAAATCGGCTTTGACTTGCTAGCTTAGCCTAATAAAGCTAACTGGTTGAGCTGTGTTTGCTGTTGTCAGGGCACGCTTGATTACTGCTTCATTACTGCTTCATTACTGCTGGAGACGGAGCATGTTGGGTGATATAGATAACACTTGACGCGGTTTAGTGTTTTAAGAGGACTAGTTGTTACTACAGTACCGAGTCAGCTTGTCAAAAAAATCGCACCGCTAACAACTCACAAACTTCAGCTAATAAAAGCCTTGTTGTGAGCCGCCTGCTCCAGTCTGTGGATTTCACATTGGTCCGAGTTATTTGCAATTGTAAAGATAAATACTTGACACTCATTATCATGTGGGGGAAAAAAAAAGGTTTAGGCGTATGTCTTGATTTGGCAGCGATGTCCTCAATGTTTAAGTCGGACCACAGAGAAATATTGGCATGGCAGACATCCATCCACCTCCCAGCTGGACTGCAAAGAGTGGACATTGGTACCAGAGACCTCTGTGTTCACACTGAGAGCAGCTGCTTCTGCTCATGATGACACTAAATGCCCACATCTCCTGTTAGCCAGCAGACCCTTCATATTCCCCAGTTTCTACAGATTTACTAAGTTGCTGATGGTCCCATTCATCCTGCACACAAATGAATAGCTGGAGAGGTTTATGGTTGAGCTAGATTACTGATGGCTGAATGTTATAGTGTGGCCTCTAGCAGAGTATTGTATATGAGTCCTTTGAATGCACTGAATGAAAGGACAGGGCACTATTGAGACAGTAAGTTTCGGTCGTAGTCAGAGAAACATGAGTGAAATGCAGGGCAGAGGTTGTTTTGTTTTGCTTTACGGGTAGGTTCTCTCTTGTCCTCAGGCGGAGACTCATGTGAATGGCTGCTGTCAAGAGGACGCTACTTGGGGGAGAATGTATGGCAGCCGTATGGCTGCATGATGCACAAATACAAAAGCACGTGAGTTACACTAACTCGTCAATGTTACTGAGTGTACAGCATGTTTTAGATAAAGACAAAGTGTGTAATAGAGAGGTGCATGTCTCGAAAACCATTTGACAAGACACTAGTATCTTATGGACTGACTTAGTTTATGAAGATATGATTTTGATTAAGAGATTTTTTTAAATCACCCAGTACAGAAATGATTGTTATCTGCAGTTCTTAGGATTTATGGTGTTCAGATTCCTCACTACAATTTCTGTCTTACAGTGAAGCCAAAACCTGCCTCGCTGAAAAGCGGGTGGCCTTTCTTGGTGATTCAAGAATAAGGCAGCTATTTTACTCCTTCATCAAAATTGTTGATCCAGAGCAAAGAGCAGGTGGAATCAAGGTAATCAGGAGAAACTGCACCATGTAAATCAAGGGCTCTTCTCTGTCATTCAGCACTGCAAAAAGATCTACAGATGTGAGGTGACTCTGGAAATGATAAAGTGCAGTCTGTCTGACATTGCTCTTTTTTTCCACTACACTCATATGTTCTATCTGTAACCCAAGTGTATCTTGTTTAGGTTTGTTCTAACAATCTGTCTTTATACATTTTAAAATACTCTATCACATCATACAGTATGAATCCAGCTGGTATTTTCTTACTGATCTATTCAAGGTTCAACAAGGCATGTTTGAAAGAGCTGATATACGCTTCTTCAGTTGATTATTTCAAATCTTTTCTGCCTGGGAACAAACTGAAAACAGTTCTGTTGCTTCTCAGCATGATAAAATCTAGTACAGATGACTGAGCAAAATGACAACCTGCAGCCCTAATGTGAGATAAAGCCCTTTTCCCTACTAGTTGTCTAGATAACATTAAATTGGTGTTCAGAGAACAAACAATGACATAAAATGCAGCGCTGCGATGCCTTGAAATTATGCAGCAGCTGTTACTATTTTTGGTCGGAAAGCGGAGAGACTATATTCCTAACAGGCTTTCTCTCTGTTTGTCCCCATGTACGTTATGTCTGAAGCACGAGGACATTCCTTTTGAAGATGAGACTTCCTCTGTTAATGTGGTAAGTTATTTCTGGATGTGTTTTTATCTCCCGTTCTCGGTCTGCGAAAACTCTTGATAGAAGATATAGACATCTCGTCTTTATGCGCAGGACTTCCTGTGGTATCCAGAGGCAAATAATTCCATGAAAGAGCGCTTGATGGCATGGACGCACGTGAGTGAAACTGTTGAGTTCTGTCAGTAGGGAGCATTGTTTATCCAGGATGTTGTATAAACTTGAAGTTGTCATGTGGTGTACACAAAGGATTTTATTTTCTATTTGCAACTTCCCTCATGTGTTGCAGGATGCGTCAGTAAAGCCAGATGTTGTCGTCATTGGAGCTGCCACAGTAAGCTCTATTACTTACTGGTTAGAAATGTTTGCACATTTAAAAAAAAAAGTAAAAGATAAGGACGTTGCTCAAGTTGAAGCTAATACCATCTATGAATCCATTTAACAACAGTGGTCCATCAAGTATCACAGTGGCAGCAGCGAGGGCTTGCAGCAGTACAAAGTGAACCTGACGGGCATCGCTATGCACCTGGAGAAACTGGCTGAGCATGTAGAGGTCTACTGGGTTGTGCAAGGTGAGTTTAGCTGCCTGCTTTGAATGTGTAGTGTCACTGCCTGTTCCCTTTTCAAGAGGGCGTAATCTCTCATGTGATCACTACTTTCATGTCAAAAGAGATTACAGATTGAACAACTTGAATACTTCAAAGCATTCATTCCAAATGTTCACACACTCCAAGTAAATTCCCACCATCAAACAAAAATCTAAGTTACCTTACTGTATGTTTTAGTTGCTCATGATTACCTACAGTATGTCACATCTCCATATTTTTGCTCCGTGGAAGCTAAACTTTGATGCTTGTTCATCAACAAACAAGCAAAAAAAAAAACAATATAAGAAAAGACATTTGTGTTCTTCTGAGAACTTTAGATCAATATTCAATCCCAATTTCCTTATGTTTATATTGATATTTGGCAAACATCTTTAGTGAAGTGTATCTCATGCAATTACATATCAAACATGCACGTTGCCACAGGTAAATCCCACATTTCAAGTAATACTTAAAAAAAAAAAAACATGCAGAATTGACTTAAAATCTCATACACACCCTGTAGACTAAACCTCTCTGTTTGTAAACACTGCATAATGCACGATCATGTTTCTGTCCCGTAGACCCTGTGAATGAGGAGGTGTTGAGTGACAGCAGGAAAATGATCACCAACCAGCAGCTGGATCTATACAATGAAGCAGCAGAAGACATTCTCAACGGCAGCAAGCGAAACGGCAGGTCCCGAGTCAAGCTGTTTGCTGCGTCCCGCCAGGCTGCCCTCGAGACCATCGACCAATCAGAAGATGGCTTGCACCTACCAGAGGGCACCATGAATGTGGTAGGCAGGAAGATTATGTTTCAATCATTAGATAAAACACTCCAATGGGTCATCTATTGTAGCATAAAAGAAACGGTTAGTTTACTTCCTTTAAAGCCTTACAGACCCAATTTGCATAAAACAGTAACCTTACAAAGAGGAGAGGTTACTACCATCCTAAACACCTTCCTACAGCTGTGACATATTGACCTATTGCACGGCCCCTTGGCACATCATACACTACCTCTTATTTCTGTCATATTTTTCACCCACCCTGTGATCCTCTTTTCAGGGAGCGATGGTCCTCATGAACTCTGTGTGCAACAAAATGCTCAAGCCCATTGATGGCTCCTGCTGCCAGACGCTTTCACCCCCAAACCTCCTTCAGAAGCTGTCAGCATGTTTCTTCCTGGGCTCTGCCGTGGTCTTCGTGGTCCTCCACTTCCTCGGCTCCAACCGACACCGCAGAGCGGTGCCCCATGATGTGGAGAGCCTAGAAGAGAAGAAGCCTGCGTCTGCAGCTGCCCCCCCGGGTCCAAAGGCACCTTTCCAGGCCCTCTGCAGGATGGGCATCATCATGGCCTATTTTTACCTCTGTGACAGAGCCGATGTGTTTATGAAAGAACAGAAGTACTACACACACTCTGCGTTCTTCATCCCTCTCATCTATATATTTGTCCTGGGCATGTTCTACAATGAGAACAGTAAAGAGGTGAGATTCAGTTCAGTACTTTTGAACTTGGTGTTAACAAAGGAGGAGTTTGTCTGGTATTATTTTCCACTCATTCACAAATTCATAGACCTCTCTATATTTGGATGTAGTTTGAAGTTGGGATGCAAGGGGAGCTTTGACTAGTTTAGTTTATTGATTAATGGACGGGGATAAGAATTGTGTAAATCAGTGTAGTGATGAAAGATACAACAGAAAACTCAAAGTACTTGGTCTTTTTCAGTTCTCTGATTTTTTTTTGAAATTTTCAAAATCCAAAACAAAAAACGCCAACCAGAATTTACATTTTTAGACACTTCAAATCCATTATTACCCCTGAACTGTTCAAAATGTTGCAGTTGACATGATAAAGTCTAGTTCCCCTAAAAGCATGGACGAGTTTTCCGAAGTTTATTTCTCTGCAAAATCATGAGAGCGGCATCCATGAGTTTAGAAGAAAGAGGGAACATACAGTTGAATAACTCCACAAAAAAACCTTGCTGTTTGTAAATGTGATCAAAGTTGAGGTAATGTTTGTAAATTGAGTAATATGTGTTTCTCTCTTTCCAACAGACCAAATTACTCAACCGAGAGCAAACCGATGAGTGGAAAGGCTGGATGCAGTTGGTCATCCTCATATATCATATATCTGGAGCCAGTGCTGTAAGTGTTCAAGAATTCTTGGACGCGTCCATGTGAGAGTAACCTGCTCAGATGAAGTGAATACAGACATTGTCAATCCTAAATCTTGTTATTTGTGTCTCTCAGTTTATACCAGTTTACATGCACGTGCGTGTGCTGGTGGCTGCATACCTCTTTCAGACTGGCTATGGACACTTTTCATTTTTCTGGCTCAAAGGAGACTTTGGACTCTATAGAGTCTGCCAGGTGAGGACACAGCCGGTTACAAATGATCTAGGATTTCACAGTAGCTCATTACTCTGCCATCAACTAATGTAATTAATAATTAATGTAGTTGTTTTTATCATTTGAATTGCTAATTTTTTTTTTATCATTTTAATTGCTAATTGTTTTTTTATCATTTTAATTGCTGTATGTATGTTGTGAGTGTGACTGTGTAACTTTTGCTGCCTCTTGGCCAGGACTCCCTTGAAAAAGAGGTTTTTAATCTCAATGGGACTTTCCTGGAAAACTTCTACAAAAAATATACACGCTTTGTTTTCAAAAATAAAGGTTAAATAAAAAAATTAGTCCTATTGATAATAATGCTCATAATATTTTAGCACCTAAGCCAGAAACCATCATATTATTAAACACATTACAAATACATGTATTCAGCTTTGACATTCCTGGTGTGTAATTGTCTAATTATTTCATATTCATTCCCAATGCAGGTCATTTTCCGTCTAAACTTCCTGGTCGTGGTGCTGTGTCTTGTCATGGACAAACCTTACCAGTCCTATTACTTTGTTCCACTGGTCACCTTCTGGTTTGTCGTCATCTACGCATCGCTCGCCATGTGGCCTCAGATCCTTCAGAAGAAAGCCAACAGTAGGTTTCCCAATTGATTCAAGCTATAAAATGAATCACTTCATTTGTTCAGCTTACTTTTTACAAAAAATATTTTACAACAATGACTTTTTTGTTTTCTGAGCAGATAGTGGCATGTGGCACCTCGGGGTCTTGGCAAAGTTGCTGTGCCTCCTGCTGTTCATCTGCTTCTTTGCGTTTTCACAGGTGGGTGAATTAAAAATATATGAATTTTTCCAGTTACAATATTCTGTGTGTGACATTATAGCCCTCGAAGCAGGCACACTGGGTTTGACCCTGAGACCGGCATCCACTGTCCTCTCTCTTATAAAGGCGTAGAAGCCTGAAAAAAAAAAAAAAGAAATGTTGATGATTTTGGCTTAAAATGTACCATTTCTCCAGTCCCTGTTTTGATAACATCTATGCTATTGAAGCTACTCCAATCTGCCTTTAATTTCCTAGTTCCTTGTTAATGTGATGTGGATGTTTTGCTGTTGTGACTACAGGGCTTCTTTGAGCGTATTTTCTCTGTGTGGCCCATCTCCTATCTGTTTGAGCTGAACGGGAGCATCCACGAGTGGTGGTTCAGGTGGAAGCTGGACAGATTTGTAAGTCTAATGTGTTTTGCTACAAAAATAGAAGTCCAACTCATGAGAGACATGATAGGAGGCAGTGAAGTGAAGAAACAGGTTCTAAACTTTATTAAGTAGTTTGAACGTGTCGATGTTCTCTTGCAGGCGGTGATCCATGGCATGTTATTCGCCTTCATCTATCTGGTGCTGCAGAAGTGCCAGGTGCTAGCGAGGGCAAAGGCGAGGCGCTCTTCTCTGCCAAGATTTCCAACCTGCTTCTCTTCCTGTCTGTCGTCTTCTTCATAGTAAGCCTCGTCATACTTGTTTTGATCAGTCTTAATACCGCAGTTAAAGCTTTTGAACTTAAGATCATTGTTAACATAACATCTTTTAACTGTCATGTTTACTACTTTTTTTTTTTTTTACTTTAAAATGTCAACATTATATTGCAAGTCTGTTCAGGTTGTTTACTAGCTCATCCTTATTTAAGTTATGAAAGATGATAAACCGCACCTTAGGCCAACTGATTTACTGGCAGGGTGAATACTTAGAATACATAACCTGCCACACCTGGCAGCTGCCTTGCCACATAACATCTGCTGCTCTGGGTTTTATGTGAAAGTCATGTTTTTAAACGAAGTCAACCCAAAGTGTGGATTTCATCCTGTTACCCATCTACTTCTTTTCCCCTCGTCGTTCTAGACTTACTCAATATGGGCGAGCGGCTGCAAAACCAAAACGGAATGCAATGAGATGCATCCGTACATCTCTGTGGTCCAGGTACAACTTTCTTCTTTTAATATCTTGTCCTCTAGTAAAACAGATACATCTAAGAGTTCTCTTACTTTGACTTTTCTTGATATCAATCTGAAAAATGTGGAGCTAATTGCCTAGCTGAGTCTTTGGTGTACTTTTCTTTGTCCTCAAACTGTACTAATCACATGACAAGATAAGGAGTCACAACCTGGAGTTGCCTCATTATGGTCATTAACAACATATATTTATTTATTTATTTTGACCAGGATAGACAAATTTTCCAGCCCCCATTAGATTGTTAGTTTATCCACTGTGTCTTCATGCTTTGACTCTTAGAAATGTCTCTCTCTCTCTCTACAGATTTTGGCCTTTATTCTCATCAGGAATATTCCCGGCTACGCCCGCTCTGTTTACAGCTCATTCTTTGCATGGTTTGGAAAGATCTCCCTTGAGGTAAGCAGACCTGTTAGTTCACTGAGAACAATAAAGTAAAGGAATGGAATTACTAAGCCGTTAAAAGGTCTTGCCAAGTTGATCGAGTAATAAAAATGAGCCATGAATTTTTTTTATGATGAGGCAATATAATGAGGTGGGACTAGTGATTAAATAACAGGATAGAGACGGACTATGAACTTTAAAAAAAAAAAAAGAAGCTAGACCGACCGTAATCTTTACAGCTCTGTATGTGCTGTTCTGTTGCTCCACTAAAAAGGAATATGCACAAAGCAGCAACCTACAGCAGTTGAAAATGAAGCAAATGCTGAAGGGGCAAAACAGTTCTTTGAGAGTCTTCTTGAAGCTGGCTCCAAAAGCCAAGGAAACCTCTCGTTGTCCAATGTTAACATGCCCAGTTTTACATCACAAATAAACATGATTACAACCTGGTACCAAAAACGTTTTTCGTCTTAATGGCTAGGTTTTTTCTTTTAATTGATTAGAACTGTGGGAGGTGAAATACTTCCAAGAGTCATTAGTTTTGATATTTAGAAGAGGAGTTAAGCTTACATTTGCATAATTAGGGAAAGGAGTTATTGACTGACAGGTGGGTATGTTGTAGTTGTTTGCCACCTCTTTGCCCTTTTCTAGATTGATCAAAACATTTTCAAGACAGCGACTGCCATCATCAGGCTTTAATTGCCTCTTCAGAAACAAATGGGTGACCTCACTGAGACTGTTCATGTTTGATACTGTCTATGATCGGCACATGTTACCTCACAACAGCATCAAAAATGTTTTTCTTTGTCTCCCCCAGCTGTTCATATGCCAGTACCACATCTGGCTGGCTGCAGACACCAAGGGAGTTTTAGTCCTGATCCCCGGTAATCCTTCACTCAACATCATGGTCAGCACCTTCATCTTTGTGTGTGTGGCTCATGAGATCTCCACCATAACCAACGACCTGGCCCAGGTGGTCATCCCCAAAGACAACGTGGCTCTGCTGAAGAGGCTGGGAGCCATGGGGCTCTGCACTCTGGTAGTACTGCTAATAACTAGAGGCAGCCAGCCCAAACTTTGAGTCTGATGGACACATCTGGTTGGGTGGGGTGGGTTGGGTTGAGGGGTGGGGTAGGGTAGGGGGGCACAGAAGAGTTCCAAGCCCCTGCTGAGTTCCAGACCAGATTCAAACCAGGAGCAGACTCTCTGTTTGATGAGCTGGTGGCTACAGGAGACATCCTCAGTTATGTTGTGGAAGGACAATGTCTCTCTGGTGGCCTGTGTTGAGTCTTTACCGTTTGACTGCTGTGAAAGTCGCACACTGAAGAAAAAAACAAATGCTAGAATAAAGGGGAGGCATATACCAAGAGAGGAAAAAAAATGCTTACATCCTGTGGATTCAACAAAAAGCAAAGAAATAATTTGAAGATTTTGGGTTCTGAACTTAAAGAGATCCTCTCATTTTAAAACCACATGCTTACTGTGTGAATATCTGCCTCTATATAGCCAAACACACTTACAAAGTTTATATTGTCTCATACAGTACTGTCTGTTATTTTCCCACTCTGGGAGGGATCACTAGGCACACTCTCCGTCCGCAAGGCAGTAGCTGCTGAAGGCACTTTCACTCAGGTGGATCCATAAACTACATATTCAGATATCTACGGGAACTATACTGTTGTGCTGCATTTAATTTTAAAACTCATTTTGTACAGCATTTCTGGTGACTTTTAAAGTGTTAGATATCTAAATATGCAAAACATGGACCAACAACTGGGCTTGGGTGATCAGAAAAAAAAAACAACAAGAAAGTAAGTTGGGGTGCAATTGTTAAATTGTTGGATTCTCCCACATTTTTGCTAATGTTTCTGTGAGTACTTTTCGAAATGTTTGCCTTTCGCTGAACGGTATGGGGGTCACCTGCTGTAGCTTTGAAATTCTTTGGATATGTACAGTATTTAATGATTTAAATTAAGCTTATATTTTATACAGTTATTTTTTTCCGGCTTTGTTTTGTACGATTGGGCTTATGGCTACTGTCTGTGAAGGAAGCATTGCATTGTTTTGTACCCATCCCAGCATCTCATAGATGATGACCTGCCTCAGAGACGCATTGCAGAGATTGAGCCTTTACAGTTCGACTCCTGTCTGTCCTGTTAGCCCACTGCATAGTATATGTATATTTGTATGACAGAGTGCAAGACTTTATTTTATACAGCAAAGCTTCTGCAACGTTTAAAACTTCTAACTTCCCTTTGCTATTTAAAAAAAACAAAAAAAAACATGCCTCACAGGTGGTGGGAAATGCACATGAAATTCTACAATAGAACTAACAAATACATTTATTACAGAGCCAGTGGAGCTTTCATTCTGCGGGTGAACAAGTCATTCTTTTACTGCTTTTCTGTGGCTTTTGCACATAGTACATGTTCAGATGTACGGTGTCATGCCTGTGATTTAAGCCGGGATCACAACCTTCTGTCCGTTAGCCACCTTGCATCAGAGCCACATCGACATTTAAAGAAATGCACTGACACACTTGAGAAAACATTACTGTGGCTTCAAGCAAAATGTACATTTTGTCAGTTGGCAGATGGGTGATGTTTATTCTACCCAGATATATTTACGGACATTTAAGAGAGATAAGCACCTTGACTGAAAGACCTGCATTTTTTTCATCTTTGTGGTGGGATACAATGTTTAACATGATATTGTTGCAGACCATTTCTGGACTGTGGAACATTTTTTATTGATATCAAAACTGATTTTGTCAAGGTCATTTGGCAGTTAAGAGAAACAGTCAAAGTAACAAGATGTTTTGCATATGAATTTAAGTAGCATATTGCATCTACTATGGGGTTGTAAAAGATTGATATGTCAATAGATTTGGTTTTATTTTTTTTAAATGGGTTTTCTTTAAACAAAACAAAAAAACTTTTGAAGTAGAAAAATTGTCTTTAGCTTTTCCTGTCATTTATCTGACTTTGTGTGGAGATGTTTTCAAACTGAGTAAAAGCTAAGTCAATTTGTGAATTCTGTAACCTGACATCACCTCATCGTGTAAATGAGAAAGATATCACCATTGATATTCAGTTTACTGATATTCTGTTAGTGCTCAAACAGCTATACATTTGCTAACTGTTTCAGGCCTTAACACGTCTTTCTGGTCATGTAAAAGCAACAACTATTTATACCCCTGTGCAGGGCCTATTTGAAATATTTTACATGTAAATCTTTATGTGATGTCTTAAAAATGTGAAATGTATCCATGTTATTTATAAATGCCTTTTATTCTGTTGTACATTGTTAATAATACCTTCATAAAACAGGCTTCTTTTGCATCTTTTGTGGAAAAAAACCAAACACCTTTCATGTCATTCAGTTTTTGTTAGACTTGCTTATTGACAAAAAAACAAAAACAAATCCAAATTATTTTTGAAAAACTTTATCATGTCAAATTACATATAATTAATAACATACAACAAGTAAAGCATTTCCCTGTAAAATTCCCTTTTCCTCTAAGAGGTCCATTGTGCAAAGCAAGTAGAAATACTAACATCATTTTAAAATGTACCCATATATTTAAAAAATACTCTACAGTCAGCTAGGCTCTTTTTCTTATTCTTGTTCACTCTCACTCTTTAAGGTGTAAGTGCACATGGACGGTAAATGATCAAACACTTGAGGCATGCAGATTGGCACAATTGTTAGAAAAAACTAGAGATATGGAATTGAAGAGGGCTTTAACACTGGTTCCTGGTCACAAATTCAGCGCTTCAGCCACCTTTCTTTCCTCAGGAATACCATTTACCTGAAAAATAAACAAATATAAAGCATAAATGCAAAGTTCTCATACTCAAGTCCCTACGCTCCTTGTTAACATATAAGACAGGTAGGAGCTGGAATTACTTCAAATCTTTATTAACTAACAGACTGCAGCACCTACCTCCAGTCTTCGAAATGTCGACATGACATAATTCTCTCCTTTGTTAGCAGTGAACAGAGAGAGCAGTGGGTTAGTGTTGGAACTATCATGCAGGTGAACACCATGCACACAGGGGGGCGCTCACACACCCGGCACCAGGACTGCAGAGGTTTGAGACAGACTAGACAAGTAATGCGCTCATGCTTTGCAAAGCTATAGCACTCTCAATCATCTTCAGCCAGATGAATAAGTGTAGACGTTTTTATTTTCACTGCTGCAGGAAGAGGAGGACTCAGTTCTTATGAAGTATTATTCTCTGTTTAGTCAGCTTATTTAATGTAGGATGACAGAACAACAAGAATGTGGCATGTCTGTCTTAAATAAAGGCATGCACAAAGCTGCATCTTTATACGTTATTTAATTATTTGTTCATTGAAACAGCCACATAAAGGCAGACTGCCAGACTAGTACTGAAAGGAAAAAACAAACACTCACCTGATGGCCGTTGCTGTGGTATCGTAATCTGGTTTTGCAGATTCCTGTAATTATAAACAGTGATACTATGGTAAACTGCAAGAGCCTTTAGTGTCATGTGAAAGTGTGTCGTATTAGCACATTTTTCAACAGAGTTTCAAGCCCATTAGAAAAATCATGGGACAGCTTGAGTCTCTTAAGCTGTGGATGTGTTTTCCCAAGGTCAGACGTGCTCACGTATAGCTTTAGCTGTAAACATGGCACGGTTAGAAGCTCTTAATACAAGATTAAACAATAATGGTATTGTTACGACTTATATTTCCACTTTAAGCCATACATCTGAATGCCTACTAATGAGCATGGGTACATGAGTACATTTCATGTGAGCACCAATGCTGTGTGACAGTCTGCTTATTATCTAACATGCTGTGTGACTTTCCTCCACCCAACCAAAAGACTGTTTAGAAAAGTAAATGTAGCCTATTGGGTTTAAAAGTGATACAAATAAACCCTTAAATAATTTATTATCATGTTTGTTTCAACATCTTTTGCACACATCACCACTGCACTATTGTCCTATTTGGTCATGTATACATGTCTTTGTTTATCTGTTATTTTATATATATGAATATTTAATGTTGTACTTTTATACATGGAGCGCACAGTTTATCAAAGTCAAATTCCTTGTACTCGAAAGCAAAAATCGGCAGATACAGCTGATTCCTAAACCTGCATTCTTTTTATGGCCAGCAGGAAGCGTGGCACTGGCCTGGCTTATTCAAATTCAAACCCAGCAGGCCCGGCGTCTTCAGCCCGGCATTTGGTAAATCCAGAGAAGTCTACAAAACCCAGCAAGATGCTTACTAAACACTTGAAAATGATATTGAGACTTACCTTGAAGTGTTTTAGAGAACAGTAAAGAGAGGGCAGTGGCCTAAGGCATAGGACCTTAGGCATACTCTCTACTGAACTCTACCCCCCGAACTCTGAACTCTGTCTCTCTCTCTCTCTCCCTCTCTCTCTCCGCCCCTGCTGACCCCCCCCCCTTTCCCCTGCATATCACCTCACACCCATCATCCCCCCACCACTCCTCCTGGTCACACACACACATCTCTCATCCATCTGTATTATTGTATTATAGTATGTTCATATTATGTCCATATTCTTTATATTATCTGTAAACTAGTATAGCATGCTCACTGCACCTTAATCTGTATATTATAATCCTAAGAATACACTTATTTATATATAATATATAATTATATAAGAATATACTATTTATAGCATTTATTTATATTTATAGCATCCCATTAATCCAGCCATCCAGATATACCTAATAATTCACTTTTTTAGTCTACATCTGTAAATTTTGTAATTACTGTACATAGCACAGACTTTTGCACTTTCTGCTTATTTGCACTTCTGGTGAGATGCCAAACCTCATTTCGTTACTCTATACTTGTATATGTGTAATGACAATAAAGTTGAATCTCATCTCATCTCATCTCAGTGGACGGTATACTGCCTAAAAAGGCATGTACCAACCTTTCCCTCTCAGATGTCAACAATTGTGACACATTGAAGACAGCCATTTTAGCCCACTACTATCACAACCTCCAAACTAGGGCACAACAGTTCAACGCCGAGTCCCATGACCTCACCGCCCCCGTTTGACCACATCTTGCTGCACTTGTTTTTTTGGCCTGTAGCTGGCTAACAACAAGGGACGGACGGTAACTTATCATTTATTTTTTTCTTAGATTTTCTTTGTTTGAATTGAACTCTGAAAATTAGATGATTTCTGAATATAAAATAAATCATCATAGCACCCTCTTATCCAAATGTGGTCATTTGTGGCCTGACAAGAAACAAAGCAGCCAAAGCAGAAAATATTGAACACATGGCTTCAAATCATAGTCCAAAGTTTTCCCAACTCACGTCTGTGTCTGCATGAGAGGCATGCTGGTCGTCTCGTAGTTGTCAGGGTGGATTGGTGGCACCACCTCCCCGCTGACCGGGTTGAAGACAGGCAGAGTGGAGAGGGGCCAGGAGATCTCCCGGTTCTTAGACATGCTACGCAGCTCCTTGGTGGACTTCTGGATGGAGCTGTGGTGAACCAGCTGGATGCTGGAGAGGGGAGAGACAGTAAGGTTAAACATGTGTGAGCTTGTGTTGTTGTCGTGGTTTGTAGGGTTAATTTGTCTCATCCCGTATGTAATGCTTTCTTTAACTGAAACATATTTCAAATATTTACATAAGCAATCATTGGGATCATTTGTATCCAGAATGGTGAGTTCTGCACTCAGCTCATGCATGCAAGACAGAAATATATCATCCACCCTTACCTAACACTGCAGCTCATCTGACTTATGATGCAAGACATGTTCTTAAGTCCAAAGATTTATCTGTTTGTACTACGGCATCGTTAAAGACCTACATCTGGCCGTTTCATTTTTTGAGCAGCCCATTGGATGAAAAGATGTCAACACACAGATGAGCGAATGATAATGAGAAAGCTGTAAGTAACAACAAAGATGACAAAACTGCAAACAAAGAGAGAGAGGAGGGGGCAGAAACAGAGCCAAAATAAAGCGAAACACAGCAGGAGAGGTAAAACACTTACTCTGGTGTTTGCATGTTTCTTTTTTCCCTAGGAACAAAACAAAATGGATGAATTAAATACTAATATTAATAGTTAAACACATCGACACAGGTGGATTGATGGGTAAAGGCAGAATGGTGATCGGATGTGGGACATGGAGTGAATGAGGGGGTATGTCTCTCCCAGCCCGTAAATGATGGAGAATGATAAACGAATAAATGGGAGGACGTCTGTCCATTGATTCCACGGCTGTGCTTCAAAACAACAAAATGTTCATGATGCCGTCAACAACAAATAAATGACAGGTATCCATGGGGAACTTAATAAGAATGGAACAAACAACTGGATGGTCATGACAAGCTGCAATCCAAGTCCAGATTATTGCTCTCATCTATGTATGCTGCACTATCCATCTTCCATTTGATTCTCATAAACTTCAGTAAGAGCTTCTCTATGTTCGTTCGGCTGTTTTGGTGCAATGTTCGTATAAAAATAAGAGACCGAGCAAACTTACACCCCTTCTCGTCTGCAGCACATAGTGTAGCCGAGGATGAAAAAGAGGACTAGTGCCACAGCGGAGGGAACAGCCAGCGTGATGAGGAAGTCTGAAAAGTAGTCCCTGCTCTTCAGAGACTCAGAGGGGGGGTCGTACGGTGCAAACTCAGGCAGGATCCCTGTGCCGGGGTCAGGACGGGAAACATACACCGGGACCACTTTGTTGATGTCCACCTAGAGGAACAAGTAGAACTTAATTCAGCTTCTGTGAATGAAACAGTAGGTTGTGCAAACCGCAACATGTGTCAGAGATGTGACTGAAGTTAAACACGTTTATTCATTGGAAGTTTGTAACATTGCTAATGGAAGAGTCCTGTACTGGATTCCTTTTGCCTTGAAGTTCCTTTGGAATCCAAAAAGTGTGGGATTATTTTCATCATATATGATTGTCACTTCTAAAATGAGGAGAGTACGTTACTTACTTTATGTCCTGTAGTGATCGTTTGTCCCTAGATTAACTTAGACTAACTCAAAGTCAAACAGACACTGAGGTAATTGTCCATTGTCCAGGTGTGTGTAACATTTTTTGAGGTATATATAAAAATGATTCTGTGCCACACAAATGACGGTCAATGGTACTAAAGGTAAAAAAAACATACACTCTTCCCCATGCCCGCATATCCTATCCCAACCTACCCATATTTGTACAAATTATTACTCAAATTTACTAAATAATGGCAACAAAAAAATTAAGTGGAGAAATGTTCAGAACAATGGATAGCTCCTTGAATACTGATATCCAGCCCCATTAATGCACAGGACCTTAAAGTAAGCTGCTGAAAAAG